TGCCAGCTCCACAGGAACACACTCAGCAGCTCCCCAAAGCACGCTGGCATGATGCTCCACTGCATTTCTGGCTTGTCATTAGCCAAAAAAAAAACTTTAATGACATGGTTGGAGTCAGTGTTTAGCTATAATGGACTGGGACATCCCATCATCAGGAGGAGACACTGATGCAATGTTCTGCTTTCACCAGTACCTGAAAGGGTCCCTGGAAATTGCTGTGCTGCTTTGGGACGGGCAGGGTGACCCTAAAGCTTTGCCTTCTYACGTCACCCACCAAAAGCAGCAATTTTAAAAAGCCTCTCCAGCCTGCCTGGTTTATCCCTGTAAAAGCTCAACGAGATAAATCAGATTTGAAGGTGCAGAGTGTGCCAAAATGAAGAGGGTAAAAGCACACTCTACAAATGTGGCTGCAGTTTGCACATGCTGCTTTCAGGGTAATCCACACAYATCCCAGAGCATTTATGGTAACACAGAACAAATGTTTTTGCCAAAAAAAGTGACCAAGACCTGCACTGCAGCTCACAGAGGCTTCACTACTGGTTCAAGTGGCTGGGGGTGAAATTTGTCCCTTAGTCTCATTGGAACACACTCAGAAATTCATTCCTAAGCAGCAGCTCTGCAAGGCTGAACTCAGTAAATCAGATTTAAAGTGGTTTCCTCACAGCCCCAGAGTGCTGAGCTGCACCTCAAGGCACAGTGTCCTGCAGGGAAGGGATGGGGTGGGGTGGGGTGGGATCCATGGGATGGGATCCATGGGATGGGATCCATGGGGTCCATGGGGTGGGGTCCATGGGGTGGGGTGGCTGCTCCTCAGGGTCTGAGCTCTGTTTGGGGTGACAGGGAATGCTGAGGAGATTTTCATCCCTTCTGTTCCCACCTCCCAAAAGCTCTGACAGCACCTGAGGATCGTGCATGTCCTTCCTTCCCTCCCTGGGGCTCCTCAGCAGACTAAACTGTGGCTTTCCTCTCYCAAACAGCACAATCCCAAACCTGCAATTGGGACAGCAGCTTTCTGCTGGGGCTCTCCAGMCTTTGCCATCTGGGTSCTTTCCATCAGKGCTGCCCACTGAAAACCCTCTCCARARTCAGAGAGGAGGAACAGCACAATCCTAGAGATGAAATGCGCTCACAAACTGCACTGCTGAGCTTTTATCAGGCACTGCACGGCTGCCAGGACCTCCAGAGCTCAAAATCTGCACAGCCAAAACCTATCCTCCAGCATACCACAGGTCCCCGAAAGTCAACATGCCTTCTTAAAGAAGTGTTGAACACAAACATTTGAAGAGTCACTTAATTCCTGGTGAACCCGGCTGTTTGATGTGGGCCACGGAAAGCTCCCGTGACATCAATGGAAAGTTTCCAGTCAGAAATCCAGGTCTGACACAGATTAATGGAACTTAGGAAATAGAGACGGAGAAGCCTTGTAGGAACAGTCAAAAGAGCTGTGCTTGAGCAAGATGCACTCAGTGTACTCTGAGCAGCAGGAAAGAGAAACTGCCTGGCTTTTTCAAGGTTTAAAGAAAGAATTGCAGAGATAACCAGTTACAGCAGCTGCTGTCTCTGCTGCCCTTTCTGAGGCTGCTCAGCCCCAGAGAATGTTCAGCTGTTTCTTGGCTGCTCCTGAGCTTCTGATTCCTCTTTTTGAGGAGGTTGGATGATTTGGCCAAGGTTTGAACATCGGTTTGAAGGGAATGAGAAAGCCACTGCCACCACAACCTCCCAAACATGGGATGGATGTGAACTGTCCGGAATATCCAATGCCTGGAACATCAAACAAAGCATCTCCCTGCATCAAAACCTCACCCCAGACTAAACTCACCTCGTGGTTTTATTCCTGCAGTCAGTTCATTGCACTGCCACTGCTCAAACATAAACT